GCCTGACCACGCCTGTGAGGACGTGGTCAAGGTGATGTAGGGAGGTGGAAGAGTGAGGGCTGCTCACGTGGCGGCCCTGCTTTCGCTTTCATCTTCGGCTTGCTGTACTTACTGCTGCCCACCGGCTGGCTAGGTCACTCTGTAAGTAAGGCCTTTCCCTATTAAATTCCCTTGTATTTTTACCTGGCTCCACATTGCTAATTTCCCACATTAGGTGTCTTTCTTGGTTGCTCTCCACCTTATCATTTTGAGACAGTGTCTCTTACTGAGACCTGAGACTTCCCAACTAGCTGGCCAACAAGTCTCAGGGATCCTCCTATGACCACCTAAACAGTACTGGGATTATAGGTGTGTTATATCTATCTTTTTATGTGGATGCTGAGGATTGGAACTCAAGTCAACATGCTTACAAAGCAAGCATTTTACCTACTGTCTCCATACACTTATTCGTTTATTTTCATGTGTATGTGCATGTGCTTGCATGAGTTCATGTGCTGATATCACGCATGTGCCTGGTGTCCCCAGAGACCAGAAAAAGGGTATAGGATTACATGGAACCACAATGCAGGCAGTTGTGAGCTGCCATGTGGGTGTTTGGAATTGAACCTGGGTCCTTTAGAAGATTGGCCAGGGCTTTTAACCATGGAGCCATCTCTCCTTTTAGTCATTGGAAAAGCATGGTAATGCATGTGTGTGCATGCTCTCTCTATCTCATACACACATTCATACACAGTCACTAAATAAATAATGTAATAAAGTTTCCTAAAAGGGAAGGAGACACTGGCTGACTCTCTTTCATTCCCTTCCTCTCTCACTCTGTAAAGGCAAGGCCTGAGAGGATGCTGTAGGGGAAAGCTTTGTCTACAAGCCAGGAAGCCTGTCTCACTGGAAACCAATCCTGACAGCACCTTGACCTTAGATTCTAGTTTCCAGAATTGTGATGAAGTCAATTGTTAACGTTTGGGCAGCCCACTCTGCTGAGGAATACAGCAATGCTCAGCCTTGCAATGCATCACATCTCCCTGGCTACATGTGTTGATATGGAAACCGAGTGCTGAGCTGGTATTCGAGGACCAGAGCCCTGGAGAACCCTCTGCTTCACAGCAGAGTCTGGATGAGGGAGAAATGCACCTTTTTTGTTGGAAGACACATTGTTAGCTTCCTCATCCTGGGGAAGTCTAACCTAAGAGAAGTCAAGCAGAACCAGTCAGAGCCCTAGAGCTCCATGTCACATTTAGCATACACAGGGCTATAAATAGGGGGGAAAGAACACAGAAGGCCAGATCAGCAAACAAAAATAAGCAGGAAGGCATCCTCTTGTGCTTCTGTGTTGGAGTCCTTGGTTGATAGCTCAGTGGTTAATGAGTCTTGTACTTCTGTAGCAGTCAGAGAAGGCTCACATGTGTGAGCCTGTGCCTCTTGTAGAATATTGTTTTAACTAGGCAAATATGTGTTATATTTGCTTATGCTGCAGAATATTACTTTAACTGTGTAAAGGTGTGTTGCATTTGTTTATGCCATACCTGCTTAACAATACAAGGATGTGTTACACTTGTCTGTGCTGCCTTAGTTCAATTATGAAAAGGTGTGTTGCATTTGTTTCACCTTGCCTGCCTAAGGCACCTGATTGGTCTAATGAAAAGCTGAATGGCCAGGGAAAGGATAGGCAGGGCTGGCAGGCACAGAGAATGAATAGGAGGAGAAATGTAGAAAGAGAGGAAAGGAAAAGAAATGAGAGACAAAGAAGGAGCAGAGAACGAGGGAGACACCTGGTGCCAGAAGCAAGGCAGATGCCAGTCAGCCATAGAGAAGCAATGAAAGTAAGATATACAGAAGTAAGAAAGGTAATTATCCCCGAGGCAAAGGTAGACAAGCAGCTTAATTTAATTTTAAAGAGCTAGGCCGAACATTCAAAACTAATAATAAGTCCCTGTGTCATGAATTGGGAGCTGGTGGGTAGCCTGTGAACAAAACCAGGTCCCCTGAGGGAAGAAAAGGGAGAAGGAGGGAGGAACAGAGGGAAAGGAGGGAGGGAAGGGATGGCTTAACCAATTGCTTCTAGGGCTACAATAGTCTCCTGTTGTTCTGCAGAACCAACAGAGCCTGAAAAAGTTCTGACAGGGTGACTTCGTCTATACTGCTATAACCCCTTGGTGCCCAGGCAGCTCTTTGTGTGGAGCCATGGGGATCTGTGGTCAAGAACAGATGTGGCCTCTTTCTGCCCCCCCCCCCATTCATTGCCTGTCAGTCAGTGAGCTTCCTCTCAGCACAGATGCCCTTAATGAAACAAGACAAGCAAGTCTGGATGATCCCAAAAGCATAGGAAGGTTGAGAACTGCCGTTAAAAGGGAGAAGAAAGTCCAATGAGACAAGCTTTGGTTACTGTACAGAAATCCTTCTGGGTTTCTGGAACACTGTTTTGTGCCATGTGACCTTGCCTAAGTATACTCAAACTCACAGAGATCCTCCTGCCTCTGCCTCCAAAGTGCTGGGACTAAAGGTGTGTACTACCATGGTAAGTAATTTCTACATTTTTTCCCTCTAGGTCTGAGATTTTAGATTTCTTTCAAAGTCATATACAAAGTAAATTAGGCAAATATATATAGGAAGATAATGAAAACATGTCATAGTATCTTAGAGTATGTGGGCTGGAAGTGGGCTGCCTCTGTTCTGCTTGACAGGCAGCAAAGCCTGTGTCCTATAGGTCTTCCCAAGGGAAATGTATTGTTAGTCCTTCATTCTCTGAAAATTGACATTTCCTTGGACTCTTCCTGTGGGCTGTCCCCAGAGTCATCATCTGCTGTTTCCCCCTTAGGTACTCCGAGCTTGGTGCTATGGTTGGGTTTCCACCTTGCACCTGGGCTCCAGGGACCTGCTTGTCTCCACTTCCTCCACACTGAGATGTGTGTGCTAACATGCCCAGTTTTTAATGTGGGCTTTGGGGAACTGAATTCAGGTCCTCATGTTTGTGTGGCCAACATTTTTACCAGCTGAGCCACAGTCTCCCCACACTACACCTTGGCCCTGTCAAGATAAGTTTCTTTGCAAGGGGACAGATTTTGGTCTCTTTGCCCCAAGAAGAGTTTAGTGATTTTGCAAGTCAACAATGGGAGGAATAGGTCCAGTGTGTGTAAATGTTGAGGACCAAGCAACAGCTGGGCTCAGTGAGCAGTGCATCTGCTTTGGCTTGTTTATTTAATAGAATGATTGAGTTTCTGCAGCTGCATCGCTGTTTTGGCTGCTGAGGTTGGGCACTTCAGGAAACGAGACAAGACTTCAGCTGGCCATGAACTCCCAGTACAGTTCTGGGAGGGACAAACAAATAGACTGGTACAGTGATAAGTGTGACTGGGAACTGTACCAGAGTAGAGATCTGAGACTCCAGTGAGGGGCTCCTTGAGGTGCTTGGCTGGCTTTGAACCTGCTATGTAGCCAAGGATGACCTTGGACTTCTGATCTTCTTGCCTCCATCTCCTAAGTTCTGGAATTAGAGGTATGAAATGGCACACACAGTTTATGTGGTGCTGGGGGATCAAATCCAGGGCATCTGACATGCTAGATAGGCACTGCACCAATTAAATTGTATCTTTAGCCCCACATACAAAGTTTTCTAGTCCTGCAGACATTCATGGTGTAATTGAAGAAAATGAAGACAGTATTTTCTACTATAATTTTTGAGTGTGCATATTTCAAATCAGTATCTTTGTGTTGCACTCTGTTGGAATGTTTGATTTTGCAAATTGCTATTTAGACTGCTGAATTGAGTTTCATTAAAAAAACAATTGAATGTGTTTTGGTTTGGGATTAGGGCAGAATTTCCAACAATTTCTCAAAATGTTTTAAACACACACCTGCCACTTTGGTACTGTGTGTTGGTGTGATGTATATTGATGGCTTCTGGCACTGATGGTTCTGAATCACAATATTGACCTACTCTGGAAAATGCTGACAGTGCCTTGTATCCTACAGTGTAAAGTATCTGGTCAGAATTAAGTTTTGGGGGCTGGGGAAGAGTGATTCCCGTGCAAGCATGGCCTTTAAGTCATTATCCCCCTGCCTCAGTTTCTTGAGGATTACAACTTGCTATCATTACAGGTGTGCATTTCCACAGCTGAACATATTTTCCTTTAATCTAGACACCCTGTTGTTTGCTCTCTGTGTGCGTGTGTGTGTGTGTGTGTGTGTGTGTGTGTGTATGTGTGTGTGTAAATATGTGCATGTATTTGCATACACTCACACAAGTGTATGGAGGCAAGAGGTCAACCCTGGGTGTTGTTTCAGAGCCATCCAGCTTATTCTTGAGACAGACTCACAAGAACCTGGTGCTCCCCGTTAGGCTAGTCTGGCTGGCCAGCATGCCCCAGGCATCCATCTGCCTGTCTCCACGCTCTTGGTTGTCAGTGCTGGGATTAGAAGTCTATGTCACCACACCATCCTTTTATTTCTTTAAGTGGATTCTGGGGATTGAACTCAGGTCTTTATGGCCGAGCGGCAAACACTTCAATGACTGATCCACTTCCTAAGGCTTGTTGTTTAATTTTTTTTTTTCGAGACAGGATTTCTCTGTGGCTTTGGAGGCTGTTCTGGAACTAGCTCTTGTAGAGCAGGGTGGCCTGGAACTCACAGAGGTCTGCCTGCCTCTACCTCCTGAGTGCTGGGATTAAAGGCGGGGCCCCCCAACTCCCGGCCAGTTTTTTTTTTTTTTAACTTTTAAACCTTTTTTGTGTAATTTTTTTTTTTTGTTGTTTTGAGATAGGGTCTGGATGGTCTTGAACTTACTCCATAGAGTAGGCTGGCCTCAAACTCATAGAGATCACCCTGCCTCTGCCTCCTGAGCCTGGGATTGTTGGCATGTACCACCATGCACAGCTTCCATTGTGACATTTTCATACACACAGATATAAGGTACTTCTTGTGGCAGCGATACACAGAGTAGAGGAGAAACATTCTCAGGGCAGCGACACCTACTGCAGGAACAGTAGTTGCTATAACGTACTCACCATGGTTGTCTCAGCAATGGAGCCAAAGCTGTTGATGAAGATGTTGCAACTCACGTTCACAGGGGGACCTGACAATCAAGAGAGAGAGAGTCCCACTGAGTTTCAGGCTGCAGAGAAACTAAAATCAAGGGTAGCCTCATGACAGGGTCTAGGAGCACCCTGCTTGTTCTCTACCCCACCCCTAAGTGCCTGGGATCCCCAGCTTGCATTTAGCATCTCTGCCAGACTAGACTCCCCAGCTTCCAGGTGAGGGCCAGGTACACCTCAGAGGAGGCTGAGCCAAGCTGTGCATTCATTAACACGGTGTGATTCATCATTCTTCCATCTGGCTGAAATCCCTTCCCCAAGCCCCATCGGTGCCTTCTAATCTGTGTCTGAGATATATTTATGGCTACAGCAGTTGTGAGCCATCTCAGGAATTGCAAGGGACAGCAGGTTCTTTGCCTTGAACTTGTGAACTGAGGATGAAGGGGTGGTGATGGGGATTACCAGGTGAGGGATCTGGAGGGAGCCTGACAGACAGTCCACAAGCCTTTGTTAAGTACTTTGTGGACAAGTTGTTTTTCTTTTTCAGTCTTGCTATGTCCAGAAAAGAAGGAAGGGAATGCTGCTGCCTTGGTACTTGTTTCTGGGTGACACTCTTCCTGGCTGAAGCTGGGGCTTTTCATTTTCACACTGTGAATGACAGTAGTTACCAACCTCTGAGCTGCTTCAGTAGACCTTGACTGTAATGGTCTCACCGTGTCCTCCCAATGGCTCGGTGAGAAGGCTGCAATGTTATCACCTACATTGTGCAGAGTAGGAAACTGAGGGCCAGAGAGGCCAAATTATTCATCTCTGGCCACACTGCTTGAGAATGATGGAACTAGGGTTCCAGTTATGATTTGACTAATTCTTAACAGCAGGTTGAGGGGAGGAAGAAGCGGGGTTATGTAGCCAGAGGCAGAATCTCTCTCTCTCCCTCTCTCCCTCTCTCTCTCTCTTTCTCTCTCTCTCT